GATAAGACATCATTTTTTGGTGTTAATTCTATAAGGTGCTGTAGGGCTTCATAGAACCGGTCAATTTCATCCTCTTCAGCACCAGTGGTTGGGGCATAGATTTGGACTACTGTGATATTGAATGGTTTGCCTTGGATTCGAATTGAGATCATTCTGTCATTTTGGGGATTGTATCCCAGTATTGCTTTTCCTATTCTTTTATTGACTATGAAGGCTACTCCATTTCTTCTGAAGGATTCTTGCCCACAGTAGTATACCTGATGGTCATCTGAGTTAAATTCACCCATTCTTGTCCATTTGAGTTCGCTGATTCCTAAGATGTCGATGTTCAGTCTTGTCATCTCTTTTTTGACTACGTCTAGCTTGCCTTGATTCATGGATCTATTACTCCAATAGTATTAAAAGCTTCTAGATGGAAAGTGATGTAAATCCTCTGCACCTCTCCAAATCACCAGCATTAAGATAATGCACAAGTGATTATGCTGACTCGGGCAAAAACTCTCAGCTGATTTAAGAGGTTCTCATGTCCCTGCAGCAGAACTATTCCAGCACACATATTTATCCAGGTAATATATCAAGTTTAAATAGAGATGCTAGCCCCAAAATCTAATTTTGGGCTAAAGAGAACATGAATGAGCCGAAATGCCTAGGGAGTTAAAAATTGGGAAACAAGAAGTGGTAACAAGTCAGAAGACAGAATTATACAAGAGTACTAGGCTTTGCACTCCCTGAACTGGCCTGTTACCTGTTAAAAGCCCATAACCATTTGAAATAAGATTCAATATCATGCTTGAAATAAGGGGTTCAGGAATTAAATAGTACGGGCTATCCCTGGGAGTAAGATATAGAACAAATAAACCAAATCAAGGCATTGGAAGAATTACAGTGCAAGAGAGCTGCCTAAATATAGATTTGACATATTTGTTCTTGTGTAATAGTGCTGGATTAAGTCCAATGGTTGGCCTTTACAGCTGCTATTGAACAGGTGTAAGAGGGACTTTGTGAACATAGTTCATGCCAGTGTTATTTGGGAGCCTAGCAGAAATTCATTGAGTTGGCCTGAGATCATTTGTAGCCTGAAATGCCTGCTCCTAAGGGGGACTAGATTGTCCTTTGAACAGCAACAGGTTTTTTTCCATTTTGAACAATTAATTATATAAGCCTGAATATTTTTGTAAATCTTCTATTTTGCTTTTTTTAATGGTATATGCCCTATCCATGATGAAAACAACAAAAGGTCACAAATGAAAAAGTTTACTTGTCTAATCCCAGAAGTCATTATTAAAATCAATGGTTGCACATAAAATAAAACAATTCAGAAGTGCTGAAGCAGGACTTCTAAGGTTGTCTTCTTTCTTGACTATAGCGTAGGCTATAGTCTGCCGGCCCATGGGCCGGACGCATCACACAGAAGCCACACCCACCCCAGCTCCAGCAATGGGAAAAAAAGTTGTGATACATCGCGACCTGTCACATGACGTGGCGAGTTTGACACTCCTGCTACAGAGTATATAGTTAAGAGAAGAAAAGAAAATCTATCTCCAAAGAGAGATCATGCTTTGCAAACACATTGTAAGGAATCAGTGTCTATACTTGACCACAATGATGTAACGTTGCTGAAATAGGAATTCTGATATCATAGCATCACTAGCAAAAGTGGATGTGAATCTTCAGTAGAGATGGCAACCTTTTTAGTGGAAATGATGAGAGAAAGAAAAGGAAATCTCATCTATAATCTTGCAGTCCTACAAGGACATAGAATTATTAGCTGGCAAATGCAGATGGCATAACTGTGATGTCAAAGTCCATAGCTCTGTCTGATATGCAGTGAATGCAGCATTCAGCAACATTTTGCTGTTTTTGGTAATATGGTTCACTTATTGATCCATAAAAACCCCAAAGTACTCACAGCTGCTACTATTATCATAAGGATTGCTGCTGGCTACCTATCTCTCCAGCTGGTGGTCTTGCCTCGTCATCTCATCTTTCAGGTGAAGATAAAGAAAGCAATCTTGCCTGCACTGCCTGATGCCTTGTGGATTGAGGATAGTGGTTAATGAGGCCTATCATAAGCATAGTGGAAATGACCCCAGGAACATGCTCCAATGTGCCATATACTGCATGAATGGTAACTGCAAAGCAAAAGTCCATCATACCCCTGTTCAAGACTGGATGTCTATTTCTGTTTGGCCTTTGTCCTAAGAACAGCATGAACTCTCAAAATGGGCAATCCTTTGCCAGCATGTTTTCTCAGAGCTGGGCAGGCAAATGCTTCAAGTTCCTATAATTTTTAGTTGCAGAATTCACCCAATGTACATTGTAACAGAGGACGGTAACAAATTGCAACCCACTTTAACAATATCCTATGCACTAGTATAAGAGATAGAACCCCTGCACCAAGAAATTAAAGTATTATTTTTATAATTATTTGATGGGGAAGGGAATGTGATGTGTTCTTCCAAAAATATATCCCATATCTATAATTAGGGGCATACGTGAGGAAGAATACCCAGGCATGTTATAGAAGAGCTTATGCTGGATCTCCATTCATTGAAAAGATGAAAAGGTCTGATCCCTCTCCCTAGTTCCTGAAAATCCTAATGGCATTAGTGCTCAATGCTGTGACCTCAGTTCTCTGGTAACTGTGTTACAGAACCATATATGGATGGCCAAAGGCACTTCCTCCATGTAAGACTTACCTGGCGGTTACCACCAAACTGGACTTACCTTTGGCTCCTCTAAGCATTGAACAAGAAGAGCAACAAATTGCCTTTAAGCCTTTTAAATTTACTCTATACTTTTTCATAAAGTTGTATGTCAGCTTTTTCTCTGTGGTGGATTTTTGCTAGTACATGTTGTTAGAAGAATAATTTGGGGGTTCCACAAGCTGGGATGGTGCAAAACCAAATAAAAAATGAAATCCAGACATACTGTGAAAAAAAAGATTCATTTTATTCCCAAGAACCAAGAGATTTGTTTTGGGGGAAATGGGGTCCAGAGACATGGTTTTAGTGGGGGACTGGTCCTTGGTGTGAGCTTGGGGGTGTGGTGTGTGTATATGCTGGTTTTAACATATGTTCTTCCTGTGCAGATGTGCAATTTGGGATGCTCCTGATTTGGACTTTGATCCTGAGGTGTGTGTGAAATCTGGAAAGGAAGTGTCTATGGAGATTCTCAGTCATCCAGGTCATGGTTGTCTCAAAGATGCTTTTTCAAAAGACAATTGGACTTTCTTTGGTTTTCCTTGAAGACATTTCACTTCTCATCCAAGAAGCTTCTTCAGTTCTGATTGAAGACATCAGAACTGCAGAACTTCTTGGATGAAAAGTGAAACATCTTCAAGGAAAAATAAGAAAGTCCAGTTGCCTCATGAAAAGCACCTTTGGGACTCCGGAAAAGAAGATCTCCCTCAGATATATGTAGATTCCACCTCTGGCTTCTCCCGTTATGCTGGGGTGATTCCTGCTCTTTGATGGAGTCAGTGAGGTGCTGGTCTAAGTGTTAGGATTGTATGTTTATTCTGAGGCTGGTCAGCAGTTAAGGGTTCAGAGGACTACTATAGGGGTAGAGGGCTTTTTAACTTCTAACAATGTCTATCTGAGTTGTGCTAATTCAACAGACAATTTTTAAAAAGTTTTGCTTCCCAAAATTGAGAGTGGGACTTTTAGTTTTTCTTTCATTGTTATTTTATGATTATAAAATTATATTAAAGTTGCTTTTGGGTGTTGCTTTGCCAACAAAAGTGCAATGGAGCATTGTTAAAAGGTCTTTTTTTTCTTGAGTCAAAAAGATTGGAGTGTATTCTTGTATAAAAAGGGGGAAGTGGGGTTACCTTCAAACTATATCAACATTTAAATCAGTGCTATCCTTGAAGTGCATATTCATCTTACAGTTCTGCTTTTAAAACCAAAAAAAGGTTTTATACATGAATAAGGAACATTAGCTATTTGTTTTCATTTTTCAGCTCTCTTTTTCTTTGGAGCTGACTCCTGGAGACACTCCCCACCACCGTTTTCTTTTCTCTTCAAGCAGGTAAACTGTTGTAAATTTTTTCAAGAAAATTCCTGATTTGGTTTCTTCCATTTTTATTTGATGCTATTTTGGCACTTGGGGGAGGGGCACTTTTGAGTCTAATATTTTGTTTGGGAAGCAGTATTTTGTTTGGAATGAACACAATTAAAGATCATAATATAAAAACTTAAAACAACTCTACCTTTACTTTCCCTTTATTTAAAAAAAATACATGATGGAACTAAACCCCTTACACCCATTTGCTCCATCTGAACCAATGAACCAATCGCTTTTGAATCAAGCTCGACTCTTGGTGAATTCACAGGATATCCATATCATTTTTTGGGCGACAACAATACCAGATGATTTGCAATGATTTGGAGGGTGATTTTCTTTTCAATTCATTTATTTATTTTAGCATTTTCGTGTGGAAAACGAAAGGACTTTTACAAATTCCAGAGGGTGAAACAGAGGTTTATTTTGCGCAAGGTTCAGAAGCCGATTTAACACAGCAAAATTCTGAACAGGGGGGCGGTTCCAAACTGCAATCTTTATAGCTCTCCCCTTTCTAAGGAACAAAGGGAGCACACATGGAATCTTACATTGTATATCATTCAGTTAGTTTCTCACATGTTAGGTTCATTTCTCATGGGAATACAATGAAGGCAGTTTTACTTTATACAATGTTTCTAAATGTGCATTGGGTCAGTTAACACAGCTTTTGCTAACACAGCTTTCTTCCAGGAATTATGCAAGACACATCATTTTACTTGAATAATGATTTTTTTTTCATCATCATTATTATTATTCTACTTTATTCTTCATTTTATTCTATGTTATTCTATTTCATTCCACTTTACTTTCAGTGTAAGCTTACTGTGAAATTGTCCGGTTGTCTCATATTTAGGAAATAAGCAGCCCACTCTGGCATTTTTTTCTTTATTTTGCACACCCTATATAGATTTTAAGATGGTCAAGGACGCCTGCACATTACCATATATGGCCGGGTGCAAATTGGAAAAATACTTTTACTGCCTTTTGATGTAGAAAAGCTCAAGGAAGAGAACAAACAACCCACGCAAATGCTGCATCTTCGGGCATTAACTTTTATTAAAGCTTTATTAAAGCTAATCGGAGACAACCGGACCTTTTCAGGAAGGGTAATCCCCGTTCAAAACACTTGCGTCCTTCTCGAGGCGACTAGGATTCCGAAGGACAACCAACCGCACCTTCCCGCCCGCCTTATCCCCTCCCGACGTTTCCAGGGAAATTCGTTGCCAGGCAACGACAGGTAGCTTTGGGCCGAGTGACGGTTTGCGCATCAGCGTTTGAATGTGAGGAGTTGCGCGTGGGCGGACGCGACACAAGATGAGAGCCAGATTTCACTCTCGTGAGTTAGACGCGGCGCCGCCTGGTGGGTGAAAAAGCTGGCGGGCGATCGAGCGGGAGGGGGATTCCTTTCGCTTCAAACGCAGGGCGTCGTTTCATAATCCGGAGGCTGTTGCAGGGACGCGGGGAGACCAAGAAGAACCAGCCCACTCTGGTTGCCTGCGGGAAGGAGAGGAGCTCGTGCTGTCCAGGAAGACCCTAGCTTTGGGGAGCCGAAATCCAGGGGGTCCAAGTAAGCACATTCCTCCTCCAGCTGCAGTCACTACAGATGTGCTACAGAGGTGATGGGCAAGGCAAGTTTCTGTCCATGATGGAAGACAGTGTCATGCTTGCCCTCTTTGGGATGATACAGGGATATTTCCCATTTTATGCCACCATATCACTTATGTGTGGATAATCTACAGTTAGATTCAGAATCTAAAACTGGTAGAAATTTAAACATTCAGGTCATAAACAAACTAAAATTATTAAGTTAGTATATTATTATTTGTGACTGGTTTCATTTAATATTCCTATATATGTGTATAAAAGTATCCCAGTAGGGCTAACTTTTGCAATAATGTCAGCTTTTGAATATTCAGAAATATTGTGCGCTGGAAAAAACTCTAAATTAACTCCAAGGTCAGTTTTGTTTATATATGAACTGATGAAACCTTTCAAACCAAGCAAGGCACCAATAGCTGCACCCACTGCAATAACAGCAATAACACATAATAGCAAAAATATGTTATAGAACAATATTTGATAAAACTATAATTAATATAGCATTCCTGGCTTTGGGACAATCGTCTTTTTACCAACTTCCAAAGGGTCTGGAGACTGGGAACTTCACTGGCCTTGGGGTTGTTCTAGAAAAGGAAATTCCCCACTGAGAATGCCAACTTTTCATAATTTAATAAACGCTGACCCTGCTATTGATATTTTTTGTGTTATTACTAGCATGTCATTTTTACTTTCCACTTTTGGTTTCAGAAAATGAGATAAAACCCACCCAGGCATTAGATCTTATTTTATAAAATCTTTTGGGCAGGATGAATGATGCATGCTCCCCTCAGTGGCATGGTGGCCTAGTGATGAAGAACATTTACCTCCCACTTGGAAGGTTGAGACTTCAATCCTAGGTAGTGGCAGATGTTTCTCTCAGGATACAAAGAGAAAATACCTGCTGCAAACTCCACATTGGCATCAGGAAGGGCATCTGGCCAATAAATGGAACTCAGCTGCATTCAGTCATCCTGACTCTACCCCCAAATTAAGGGATTACAGGATCAGAAAAAGTGATAGATGCTCCCCGCAACTGCTTTTCTTTGGCTGTTGAATGATGTTATGTCCTACTGTATTATTATATTTAGGAGGCCAAGCTAGCAGCTTTTCATGAACCCGGCACCCATCATCTAATACAGTGTGTTTTTCAAACTTGGCAACTTTAAGATTGGTGGACTTCAACTCCCAGAATTCTCCATGCAGTTGAAAAATTCTGGGAGTAGAAATCCACACTTTCTAAAGTTGCCAAATGTGAAAAAACTGATCTAGTATATACTGTATTCAGTTGTTTGGTCTTCTGCATCACACATTGGTGTGTCAACCATTGGTTAACTTAAGCCTTGGTTAATCAAGTGCTTTGTGTTCATGCAACAATAAACTAACCACACAGAGATTCAATGTAGAGATCTTGAATGTCATTTGGGTGCAAAAACAGCAGTCAGGATACAGGCTGCAAGGAAAGACTACAATCAAAGGAACTGTCAGTTGAAGCTAAGTAGCTGATCTGACTGGATATGTGTAGAAAACTAGATTTAGATTGGCATGAAAGGTTGTTCTGCCCCTGAACTATATCTCTTATTAAAATACCTACAGAAAGTGTGTGACTTTTGGTGCCTCTACCTAATGGCTGTTTCAGGGAACAATCTAAAAACATGAGAACAAAGACTTAACTTGCAGGAAGACTTTTTTATATATATTTTAAGCTCATTATCCTTCAAAGCAGCAAGTTGACAACTCTGGTCAAAGTGATATTGTAGTTTGTAATTATGGAACATCCAACACATAGATATATGATATCAATGAAGAGACAGCAAGTTTAAGGCACATGCTGATGTCTGACATTTATACCTCCCATTAGCAGCCTGATATACTGTACCAGTGTAATGTATTAATTCAAAGATATTTTGTTCAAAAGAATTGGATCTATATAGGAATGGATCTCAGATTTTGGGAACTATTTTTTAATATGCATTTAGCAAACAAAATATACGTACTAAACTTTCTGCACTGAACTGAGTTCTTCTGTTTAATGTTCCCTGCAGGCTTCTTGCTTAATATTTAAATTCTCTAAACATTACATATGCAGGATTTGTTGTTTTGATTTTTTAGAAATATTAACTTCAGGAAGAGATGGTCAGCTCCAACCACAATCAGCATTGGAAGTAAGCTTACCTCCTTGGAATAGTAAGGATAAAGACTATGTTTTTCTGAACTTCCCTAATCTTGTAGCTCCAAATATGTTGGATTACAATTAATATAATTTGGCCATGTTTGCTGGGAATTATGGGGCATGAAACCAACATAGCTAGACCCCAAAATAGGAAATAACAAATTAATGACTTGGTAGCAAGAAATTCTATTTTACCTTTATTCCTTTGTGGTGGTGGTGGTTTTTATTCTTATTATTTTGTTTGGTGTGTTCTGCTCCTTTTTAATAACTTTTGGGAAGAAATGCAATCCATATGTAGCAAAAATAAATAAAAAATAGCCTGATTTGAAGACATTATAAAATAATTCATAAGTTAGAACTTAATAAATTGGCAGCTCCTATCCATGTCTATATTCTGACTTATTAATTAAAATGTATAATTCCTTTACTTCTTCCAAAAAAAGCTGCAGAACTTTACCAAACATAATTTAAATCTACAACAGATACCAATAACAAACATTTGAAACAGCTGATCCAGCAGCAAAGACATATAATTAAGCAGTAAAAAGCAAAGTTGGCAGAACATGGATCCAGAAAAGCTTAATCTAGTTAGCACTTTGGGGCAGATAGTTCAACATAGCGAGCATGTTATCAGCAACAGATACAATAGCGGCACAGGAGTTAAAAGGCTGATTCATATAGGAAGACATGCTTAAACATTTCAAAGTTGACAAATAACACCTTGAATTACACTTATACTGACAGCCAGTCCAGCTGATTCAGTATACTGTACGGATTGTCTTCAGCACTTTGTCCAAAGCAAAATTCTAGCACCAACATTTTACATTAAAATGAAAAAGTACTATTTATTAGAATAAATGTAATTATTAAAACATCACATGATTTCCAATGAGCAAATCCATGTAAAGGCAGGCAACATTGTTTATAGCACAGGTCACACTTTGAAAAACAAGGTGTTTTAGGGCTGAGGGAAGCATTGGGGACAAAACTGTCAGTTCTTTTTCATATTTTGTGGGGTTTGAAAAGTTCAAGGCAGAATAGATGAATTAATCCTAGTAAGAATTTTATTTTAAATTTCATAGTGTTGAATATGTGTGATTTGTTTCCAGATCTGGAGCTGAGTGTGGGCAATCACATTTAAAACAGTCCATTCATGGAGCTGGCAGGTTTTGTAGCAGTATAGCTACTTTACTTAGATATTATATCTAAGTTGGTTACTCTCTTTTAATAATAATTTTATTAAAGATTGCAACTACAATATAAACCAATACAAACAAAAAAAGAATAAAAAAAGAATTTAAAGGCTTGCTATATGGATGCTCTGATAGAATGGTTTATTTGCCATCATCACAGTGGTATCTCCAAAATATAGTCCAACCTGTGTTCTGTTGAATTTAATCATGAGCTTTTATTTGTTGTCATATCATATATTTCTCCTGCTATTTTATGGCCAAGAAGTTCCCAGAGAACTATCCATCTCTATGTAGTGACAGAGAGCATTGGAGCAATTACATGAATAGCCCAGCTTATTTCCCACCTCAAAGACTGATCATGGCCTCAACATCAAAAACTTTTAAACATATTTTTAATACTAAGAGTAGAATATCTTAAGACATAAGTTAATCTATTCCATAAATAAGTCTCAAGTGGGTAATTAACTACAAAGCAAAGTAACTAAATTTACTGTGTGCTTTTAGCCTAGATCAGTGACTTGTGGACTTCAATACCCAGAATTCCTGAACCAGCCATGATGACTCAGGAATTCTGGGAGTTGAAGTCCACAAGTATAAAAGCGCCAAGGTTGCCTACCCCTGACCTAGATAAATTATTTGAATAACTATATATAGACTGGAAAATTTTGAGGAAGATGCTTTGCAAGAATATTGATAGATGGCAATGTGACTTATAACACACACATACATATACATATTTTTCTCTTTTTTTGCTCATACCCCCTCCCCCACCACACACACACACACACACACACACACACTAATTACTCTCTTTTTAGTGTTTTACATTTTTCTATCTGCAATTCTGTCCATAACTATCTAGAGTAAATCACATTGAGCTCAGTGAAAGGTACATAGGAGTCTTTAGAACAAAAATGAAATATGCTGTATCAATTCACTGTCTTCTTGAGAACTAGAACAAAACAGGATTACAGGTTTCTGTAAGGAAAGAGGATAGACACTCCCAGCTGAATATTACCTATTTTTACAACTTGTAGATCTTACAACAGCAACTGGAATCATTTCAAACTCTTCAACAGCAAACTTTAGAGAATGTAAGCATGGTAAGGATGCTTCATAAATACTCATGAAATAAGAAAAGAATATGTGATAATTTATTTTTAATAAGAAGTGAATTAAAAATAAACATGTAATCAATTTTATATATACACTTCAATACAGGGTGAGAAATCCCAATAATTCTTCTAAATTGTTATGTTCTTGTATTGTACTTGGAGTCCCATTTCCCCTGCTTTTTTCCATTGCAAATTCAATCTTTGTTTTTTTCTTAATTTAATTCCTTAGGAGGGAAGGGAATTACTGGCTTCCTCAGTTTGTGATAAATGTCTCCAAATTGGATTGCCATAACAGGTTATACTGAGAGGAAGTCAAATATGTGCTTAAAGCACTGATATTAATGAAAGGTGATACTGAAAAGATATGGAATAAAGATCACTTTCTTTCTTTTTCCTAATACAATACCCTGATTTTTGTTTTCTTAGATCAAATACATTGGTAAATCAAGACTAGTTTCTATCTACACCCATTCTACTACATCATATCAGTCAGTCAGATTCCTATATATATAAAGCCCACAAGCAGTTCCTGAGCATAATTGATCACAGCTTTCTCTAGATTATTTTGTGTTCTCAAGACTCTTCTTATACACATCTGGCATTGAACTGCCCATTTCTAAATAAGGAGTAACCCACAGTCCATTAGCCTGAAGCAGATGGCAAAAGGAAATGGAATTCAAAACAAGAGCCATGTAAAGCATTCAGAATAGGGGCCAGACCAAGTCTGCTAGGGCAAAAAAGAAAAAGAAAAAAAATCTCTCTTTCTCAAAGCATTAAATTTACTGTATCACCTTGTCCTGGAAGAGCAGAGCAGTTGCTTCAAGGGCTTTTCCCCAGCAGGTGGTCCCAACTGCTCTACTTCCAAACTTTACATTCTTATCAAATGTGGTTAGTACAGAAGCTAGAAAAAAATGTGGTTTTATTTAGGAAAAGTTTTGTATGTTATGTTTATGAGCATTTATTGTCAAATGTATCAATTTCTACATAGAATATATTGTGTAGTCAGAAATATCATTACTGTTCACCCAACAGAGCACCAGGTAATTTCTTTGAGGCTGAGTCTCTCTGAATTCAGTAAGATTTACTTTTAAATTGGCAGAGTTAAACAAAAATGCATATCAGAATAGCTTACAATCATAATTCAAATAGTAAAAGGAATTCAGGAGAGTTTAATTCTTTATTTGCGTTTATTCAGGTTCAAACTGAAATTCATGAGATACTTAATAAAAATATAACTGATATGAAAAGTCCAGACAATTTACTTTTCCCCACCACATCTATCAACATTTCTACGGTATGCTTCTTCTTTTTTTTCTTACTAACATTTTGTGTATTAAAAGCTATGTACTGTTGTTCTGGAAAAACTAAGAATCAAACTTTTTCCAATCCCTTGGAATCATTCATCCATCACTTTTAATCCAAACATGCATTTGTATGTAGTATGTAGTTCTATATAAAACGTTGTAGCATAATGCTTTAAATTGTCCTGAATAATCCAATTCTTTTTCATATCTTCTGCTGTGGTTGTGGCAGCCTAATAATTACAAAGGTTAATAAATTGCTCATTAATTTTGTAGTTAATTTGTCCCTTTAAATCACTGTGTATTAGTACAATGAGTCCTAAGAATAATACAAAATGACTACTATTATAGCATATTAATCCAGAGAGTGCTTGGTCAAAAAAACCCAAATGTTATTCTGTTAAATCTCAGCAGGTGTTAGTGTGGATAATAACTGAAGAAGAAACTTCTGGGAACTAATGTGAGCCTCTTGTTTTAAGAAAGAGATGTATATGTGTAAAAAAAAATAAGAGGGAAATTAAGCAAACTGAATAAAGACTAGTTCTTCCAACAGTTAAACAAAACACTCTTTAATCATATTTTGCAATACAATCATCACTAACTATATTGGGGCAAAAGACTAGCTGCTTCAATCATTTCCCTGAAACCTCTAATCAGTTAGACATGAGGAAAAATGATGCAACAGTTTGTTTACATACAGAGCTGTTCACCAATGGAACAATCTGCCTCAAAATGATGTTTAACAACTACAGTACTTATATTCTGTACTTAAAAAACACATTGTAGCTCAAAGTGATATGTAAATAAATCTATTGTTTAGGACACAGAGTTGGCAACCTGCGGCTCTGGAGCCTTCCCCTGCAGCTCCCAGCCTCCTCTGCCATTTGCAAAGACAGAGACAGAGCTTCTCTCTCCCCCCCCCCTCTCTCTCTGTGTAAAAAAGAGAGTAACCTCACCCTGTTCCGACGAGCTGACAAGCTTATTGGGCAGGGCTCCTTCCTTTGCTGCGTCTCTGCAGGAAGCAGGAAGGGCAGGAGAGAGCAAGCTAGCCCAGCTATGCTGACTCAGGAATTCTGGGAGTTGAAGTCCATGAGTCATAAAAGAGCCGAGGTTGCCTACCCCTGAGCTAGCCCAATAAAAATGTGTGTCAGCTTGTTGGAGAACAGCTTGAAGCCAGCTTGCCAGGGGAGCAGAAGATCGGAGGGAGAAAGAGAGGGGGGGAGAAAGAAAGAGAGAGGGAGAGAGAGAGGGAGAGAAAGAGAGGGGGAGAGGAAAGAGAAGGAGAGGAAAGAAAAAGAGAGAGAGAAATAGAGAGAGAGGGAGAGGAAAGAGAGAGGGGGAGAGGAAAGAGAGAGGAAAGAGAGGGAGAGGAAAGAGAGAGAGGGAGAGGAAAGAGAAAATGAGAGAGAGAAGGAGAGAGAAAGAGGGAGAAGGAGAGAGAAAGAGAAAGAGAGGGAGAGAGGGAGGGAGAGAGGAAAGAGAGAGGGGGAGGGAGGGGAGAGAGACAGAGACAGACAAAGAGACTCTTTTGACATCTAAAATGAAGATAACACTGCATATATCCTTTTTTACCTTTATGAGATATACATATACATATATATAATATAATAAAGGTAAAAAAGGATATATGCAGTGTTATCTTCATTTTAGATATCAAAAGGGTTTTGCGGCTCCCAGTGTTTTGTTTTCGGTGGGAAACGGGTCCAAGTGGCTCTTTGAGTGTTTTGGGTTGCCTACCCCTGGTCTAGGAAATGCTCAAGAAAATAGAAATGATAAATTCCATGAATTCCTATTCATTTCCATCCAGCACTTACAAAATTCCCTGAAAGGTAGACAACATAATTATTAAAAGAAATCCTTTAAACATTCTTACCATAAAAAACACACATGTACAATGGTAAGGCAAAGAAAAGGGAAATAATAGAAGTTAAAAACTAGAAAAAGCATCATAATTTAAAATAGTTTAAAGAATTATTAACAAATATACGGATAACTGGAAAAAGACATAATCTTCATACCTTTATGTATTTTTTTGCAAGGGAGAAATTTAAATATTTTTAAAGATTTTAAAAGCAGCTATTGTCTCCAACCTATCAGCATTACTAAACATTGTTTCTTAAGCACTGAATAATTTTCTGATATGCTACTTTTCCCTTTGTTTCAGCCAGGAGAATATCAAGAAGCTCTTTATTTTAAGAAGCAGCTTCATCCTGATAAGAAATCTGATACTAGTCATGATTCAGAAAACAAGTTGAGCTCTGAATTTAAAAACAGGATTCTAAACAAATACAAAATAACTGGAATATCAGAAAACCATACCCAAGAATCTCGGAACAAAGCTGTTCTCTCTTTAAATGATGATTACATTAAGAATTTTGGCAACAACACTTTTTCTCCAACATACATTGGTTTGGGCTCAGAAAAGATGGCACATCTTAGACTATTAAAAAATTACAATGAACACAAACCCTCTACAGTATTCCATAATTATGAAAGGAAAGAATCTTTATCAGACAATGTAAGTCCTTTCAAAGATTTAAAAGAGGAAGATAAAAAGGCTACTAGACATGAATTGTCACATTTCCTTGAACTTCAGAACTCTAACAATGTCTGTGGCAAAGACAATGATTCTGGTTATTTATCAGAACAGGATTTAATAGAAAAAGTAGTAGATATGTCAAATTATGATTTTAAATTGAGGAGGTTTTCAGAACTGGAGGGCTCAGCAGATGCATTTCAAGCACTCACTCCCTCATCTTCAGAAAATTATCAAAGTACACTGAAAACAGCATGCAAGGACAAATATAAGAATAAAGAACATCTCATGATGTTCTCCAAGATGCTTAAAAAAAATGAAACACAACTGCTTAAGTCAAATCAAGAGTTTCAAAACTATGTGGATCTGGAATTCTCTGATATAAATTCTGTACCTGATGATTATGCTGAAAGCCGTAGACTTTTACACTTGCCCTTGGGAGAGTCTGACCATGGTCAGAAAAAAGAGATGGTTCTACACGAAGATATGAAGACTCAAATGAAACCTCTTACTGATGTTATACAGTGTCTGACAGAGCAAAATTCAAAATATCAGAATCAAATTAAGGAATTGCATGATGAGAATAATAACCTTCAAGAGAAATTAGTTAAATCAGATGGAGACAGCAAGGAATGCCTGAAAGAACTAAAGCGATTACTGAAGAAATGCAAAGAACTTCAACAGCAAAAGTTAGCACTGGAAGAAAAGCAGGATCAGCTATATGATCAAAATCAGCGGATAATGAGAGATGTAAATTATTTTCAGAAGAAAGATCAAAAAGCCCAGGAAAGTTTGGCTATTTTCTCAAAAGAAAAAAGTAATCTTATTGCAACCTTAGGATCTTTGGAAAATAAAGTTTTAGTACTTCAAGAAGAAAAAAAGACATTGGGAGATGATATCTGCCAACTTAAAGAAGAAAAACAATTGTTAGGAAAAGAGCTTGGAGAAAAACAGAATGAGATACAAAAACTGAAAGAAAATGAGAAGATTGCAGTATCAGATATGGAAGCTGTTCTTAGGATGTTACAGTCATTTAAAGATGAAAAACTGAATTCTGATAAAACGTTACATGTGGCACTGAGTTCTAAAAAAGTATTGGAGAAAGAACTCCAGGATGCCCAGTCAGACAGAGCTCAAGTTGAGGAAAAGCTTCTAACTGAACGTAAAAATGCAAAAATAGAAAGTGGAGTTTTGAAAACTACTTTATCCAATACTGAAAGAGAATGTGACCGACTAAGAACCATGATAACTACCATTACAGAAGACAACAAGGTTCTCAAGAAGCAGCTGAATGTATTTAAACAGGAAACCTATGAATGCAAGCATAAAATAAGACAACTGAGTGAAACAGTCTTACTAAAAGAAAATGTAACACGTTCCATAGAGAATGAAAGAGATGCACTAAAGTTTGAAGCACAGCGTCTTCAAAAGAACAATGCTAACCTCAAAGAGCAAGTTACTACTTTGGTCAATGAACAATATAAGCATGAGTGCAAATCCAGAAGTCAGAAGCAAAATGATTTCTCTATAGATTCTACTCAAATTTGTGAAGAAATATCTAGGTATCAACGTATTTCTTTAATGCGCGATCTACCAGGTAAGTTTTGCTATACAATATATAATTTTAAGAGCCCTCATGACACAGTGGTTAAAGTGTAGTATTGCAGGCAAATTCTGCCTACAGCCTGGAATTCGATTATGACAGAGCTCAAGGTTGACTCAGCCTTCCATTCTTCCGAGGTCAGGAAGATTGTTGGGGGGCAATATGCTGACATTATAAACCATCCAGAGAGTGCTGTAAAGCACTATGGGCTAGTATATAAGCCTAAATGCTACTGCTATTGCTAAAAATCTATTTTAGGTTAAATTCTTAGTTAAATTAAGTTGAATAATTAATTAATTAAATTAAATTATTAAATTAAATATTATTAAATTAAACAATTAAATAAATTGTTCTTAGAGAAGAACAAAATATTTAAACTATAACTGTGAGGAAACCAGTGCCAATATCAATATATCAAGCTGAAGGGGCTCAGCATCATATTCAGCAGAACCTTTTCCATTCATATGCATACAAATGCTCATCCTTTTCTGTTCTGATGCATACAAATGTACAGGCAAATCATGGTGAACCAACCATGACCTTTAGTGGGAGATTTAGCCAGGTATTACACTATACTCCTTTAGCCAGACAGAAAAGGATGAATAAGAAGGCTTTATGGACTGTTTTCTACAAACTCTCAAACTTTAGACATTTTCATGTGTATCCAATATTGAGAACTAAAAATGTAAGTATATTCATATTGACCTTTATATATATATCTAAAAGCATTTTAAATTAGGGAAGTAAAGTCACAAAAGTAACCAGTCAATATTTTGTAAGAGATAAAGCTCTAATTCTACTTAAATTTACAGTTTCTGGCAAGAAAGAGTTTTAGATGACCTACTGAAGTGAATGTGGAATAGACCCCGTATTTTAATCATTAGAAGGCATGTGAATGTAACTGAGAACTATTGTTTAGAAATAATTGTTAATATTGATAAAAAGTTGGAAGCGTTCCTAGCTTGGATAACTTTTTAGCAGTATTGGTGTATAGATTTGTTGCTATCACAAATTGCCTCCTTTGATTTTGTTTGTAAAGAACACTGTCTTTTTTTCTAGGCAGCTCCAGGCAAACTCCATCAATCAATCCTTCAATGACACTATAATAAAACATCTTTGAAACCTGTTTAAAACTCTTATCTAATTTCTACCACTTTCTTTAAGCTTTATGATAACTTTTTAAATGTTCCAGAGATAATCAAGAACAATGACTTTTCACATGTTTTTTTTTTTTCATTTTGAGTGATGGAATAGTACAAATACTAGTAAATGTTAATAATGGACAGGAAGAAGCTAAATTATCTTGTATCAAATCCTAATAACTCCTTGAAGAAACCCAAATATTACTTTTCCATATATTAAAAAATGCATACGTTAGAAACGTATCAACGACATACTATTTCCAAAAAAGTATACATAATATTATATGAGAGCATTGTAGCTCTATCCAATTAATTGATGGTCAGATCAACTAATATAATAATAATATCCTTATAACTGATGAAAATATTTTCTACAGAATCTTTTTCATGACCAATGAAAAGTGAGCACCATTGAGTTTTATGGGATATACTTCCATATACATGTGTTATTCTGGATCCTGAACTGAGATGCTTTGCAATTCAAAACCAGACAGATAACTCAACGAAGATGGTTTTAAACAAATATTTAATCCAGGAATACTTGCAGAACTCATGGTTATATAGTTTCATCTGGATGTTGCATAATTGTCCATCTTTGTAGGTAAAATCAGTAATTTCTCTATATTCACTTTAGCCTTGTTACAGACAATGTCCATGCGTGTGGCATGGTTGGTTTCGCACAAAGACAATTAAACACGAGCTGGCACCTTGCCAGGATATCCTGTGATGAACTTAGTAGCCCCTCCTACTGACTTGTTAACATGGGATTCACTGAATAGCTAAAGTACATTACCCATAAGCCATCTCTTAAGGAGATGGCGCTTAACCCTATAAATGCCAAACATTCTAACATACAGATCTATATGTTCTGGTCAGGGTTACATTGATCCAGCACATGTGCATAAAAAAGCAAGTTTGTTGCTAAAGCTAAAACAATTACTGCATTAACACAATAGGCTTTTTGTTAAAGGCAGGAATTATCTAGAAGAGGTGGATGAAACTTTGATTCCAAAAGTTGATTTGCTGACAGTTCAATCAAAGAAAACTACTTCAGTTTTCTGAATTAAAAAAAAATTAAATCACTGAAAAAATTGAATTATTTAGATGCTGCTACACATGTGCAGAAACAGAATGTTTCAGATTCAGAAATCCAAACTGAATCAGTTATTTATTTTGAATCGTTCTATCTGAATCAATCTAAATGTTAATGATTGGCACAAACGATCAAATTGGATTAGCTTTTTAAATCAAAACAATATGATCAGGGCTGATTTTCACACCTCCACTATCCATATTGTAACACAATACATTCAAATGTTTCTCTTACCTTTCCTTATTTAAAAAGAGAGATGTGGGCAACCATAAGTTCTGCATGAACATGGCAAGGATATTATTAGGTTACTGGGGTTGCTGAACTCTTAAGATCCAAGTACTCTAAAACAGACACTCATATGAACAAATTGTTCCCAATCTTTCAAATCCCTTTTCAACAATTTCCAAAAACTGAGAACATTCTCATTGTTGGCATTCAGATTATTCTATCCTATGTTTATAGCTGCAACTTTGCCCAACCTTATTTATATGTATAAATCTAGTGATGCTGAAATTTAACCAGATCTAAATTATCTTATCACAATTATGTCAGCTAAACTACACACTGATTTCTCAGTGTCACAAACAACTATATTTCCTATCACTCACCACATGAGAATTTTCAGCAAATTTAATGCGTTTGAAGTTTGGGAAACTAATACAGAACTAAGATAGAACTAAATGTATATACCCTTCTTAAGACAGATTACAGAAGCAACCATTTTATATTTTGTTAGTATTTATATATTCAGTATTCTATGAACACAGTGTTTTTGTAGTATACTGTAATTAAAATCTGGATTTTTTTTCCACATTTGGAATTTTAATAATGAACTTCCTTGGTTTCTCATTTACTTGTCTATTTACTTGTCTATTTGTGTTCCAGCACAGATCTTCCCACCCTTACTGTTTAACTGCTATATCTCTTATCCAGCTTCACATTTATTACCATCAACAAAATCTATATCAAGAAAATTGGCTTGTAATTATGCAATTTTTAAAAAATACATATTTGTTTCTAATGTACTAATATAGTCTTTCTAATTTATTGATCTTATAATTGAAGTAATTTAATATATTAAACATAGAAGGGTGTTACTTTTTCATATTTTTTAATGAAAATTCTGGGAAAGGATAATGAAGTAAAGAGCTGATGACTATGGCAAAGACTAAGGAACTACTGAATAGACCAGTTCCTTGGAACGTCTCCAAATAAGGAGAGGATAGATGATTGACCACATGTGCTCCAGATGGCTGCTCCTCATGAAGAGACAGCAGAACAGCAGTTTTCTATGGGTTTGAGTTCTTGGAGACAACAGTATTAATCATCTTGCTCACAACCAGGGCAGACACTTTTAAAGGACACTAAGTCTGCAAACATCACTTTCTAATCACTTTCAGAAATTGTTCATTTCATTTCTAATCTATTAGACACCTTAGAACTGACAACTGAAAATACCGGGTAAGTCTGCCTTCAAGCCTGAATGAAAGAAAGTTTTAATCATAAGCTTAAGAATTTAATGTATCTGAAATAAGCAGCATAAAGCTAAAAAAGATATTCATCTCAGAAAATTATAAACAGACTAGAGTTTTAAGTAAAATGAAATAGTGAAATTTTTACAAGAAAGTTTTGGAAGTAATTAAAAGAGCAAACAGCTTCTTGTGGAAAATAGATTCTGTTTTGCTTTTTACAAGGTAAAACAAAGAAAGTAATTCCATGATTTTGAAAACTGGACATCAGACAGGACTAAAGTTTTTAGGCAGAAAAAAGATTTACAAACCTACAAAATATTCTAACAATGAAAATGCTGAAGGAGATTTTTTTAAAAATGGAATCAGGAAATAGCTAAAATGTCAATAATTATGTCCACTTCTGTGGACATGTGAATTTTACAGCTGACATGGCAAGAAAATGATTTAGAAATGAATAGTTCACAATATTTATAAAAGAAATTGGCTGACAGAGTGATGTGGATAATTTTTTTCTACCAGATTTATAAAAGAAGATTGTTAAAGTCTTGAAGAATTCCATGTGATGGAATAAAGAAAAAAATGAAATCAAATCCCATGACAATATTTGAACGAATTGAAGCTTAACTTTGTTAGAAATAAAAGGAAGGAATATAAATTGGTTTATTTGATCAAAAGTTAAAACAAGATATGTTGTTACCTCTGGCATCCCTTTACAAATTTTCTGCAGACATCAGGACTGAGTTTTAATGATTTATCTATAGATAATAGGATATGGAATGAAAATATTTGTAACTTTAGAAGGGATAGTCACTGAATTTGTTTATCTTGTGATAAAGGTTGGAAGTCACTGTTTTATATATTTTCTCTTTCCTTATTTCTACATTTTCTTATCTTTTTTCCTTTTTTCTTGCACTTTTTGTTGTTTTCTTTTTGTTTGTATTAGATTTTTGTAGTAATTAAAGTTCTAAATGAAAATGTATCTTAGAATACTTATTTTCCTTTAAATGATGGACCATGAAAGATTCTTAGATACACATTAATTTTTTCATTGCCTTCAACCTACTGGTAGTTGGATTAGGAAATCTGCATAGCATCAGTTTCAAGAATCAAGAGTCAATTTCATGAATTACTGCTTATGTGTAGAAAATTTCTCATTATAGATATCTATGTCAATGTATACACAGAACTGCCACTCCAGAAGCTACGTCTGCTCCATAAATCTATTACTAACAAAAAATGCAGTTCCTAAATTAGCATACACGGCTCATAAAATGTATTAGGATAACAGCATTGTGAAGTAATTTTAACTTACAAAAAACCATAGAGGTAATCTGATAAATTCCAGGATTTAGGCAATTTTATATACACACATATAATTTCGTTGAAGGGAAGCAACTATTTTCAATGTATTTGTAGATCTTAAATGAAAAAATGTGTGTGTGTGTGTGAGAGAGAGAGAGAGAGAGAAAGAGAGAGAGAGAGAGAGAGAAAATGTATTGCAGCATTAATATTATTTGGATGAAAATGTTTATATACCATTGACTAACATTTGAAAAGTAACTGAACAGATGCCGTGACAATTTTGAAATACATCTAAAACAAAAAGGATATTTCCTCCTCTCAGTCTTCCTGTCTCCCCCAATTACATTCCTTGCTCTTTTTCTGCTCTATAATGTGCTGGATTGAGTACAACCCTTATAAATATACTGTGAGAGTATAGAAGCCCTTATTCCCTTGCACTTTATAGTAGCTCAGTACAGCCTATCTGATTTTCCTTGCCCAATACAGTGTACTCATTCATTTCCTCTCTTATTGTTATGACATGAAAAAGGTGACGTTTTCTCTATCTTCACTCTCTTGTATAATTGTCTTTTGTGCTTCAGAGATATAGAGGGAAGTTTCCATATCTCACAATGAAGTAGAAGGAGTAGAGTGTTTCATGTCAAAACCAGAACTAAATACCTCTGTTCCAAAATTTAAGGATATTTTTCTGTAAATGCTGAAGGGCATATAACAATTAAGGCAAATTCATTTATATTCATATCTTCAAGAAAAAAATTAAGTTCATGTTCAAATCTGAAGAACTGAAAATTTCAACGTTCAAATCAGGACCACTCCACATTAAATAGGAAACTAGTTCAACTTGATATGTTGCACATGTTCCTAAGAATAAATACCATTGAATTCTAGGTTTTAAGTTCAAGTATATGCAAAGAACTTGAAAGAATATTGGACAACAGTATAGATATGAAATGATTAATTTTTAGAAGGAAGTTATCAAAAGACTATGATCTAATTTTGATTTTCCAAAGAATGGAAAAGAGATTTTACATCATTGTATTAATTTTTTTATATATTAGTTTGAAATTTTGAATGTAGAGATTGGAACATTGCCATTGGCAGATACCACTTTTTATACCAATGTATTCTTACATGAGGGAGTTTACACAAGCATATTTTGTGAAGATTGTTTATTTCTATCTTTCAAGGCAACCTCTGATCATTAATGTCTTCTATAAACTAAGAAGTAAGAATACACCATGACTGTTAAGTTACATTTTATTAGACTTTCTGTGTACTACATGAAAGCTACTTAGGAATAAATTCTCAATGCATCTTTGTGTTAGTCTTTACGTAGGGAAAGTTTATACTATATTCTAAGATCTATAGAAATCACATCTAGATAGCAATTTCCTTATAACTTAATTTGTTTTAACCACTTTCCCAACATTTACAATTTGCTAGAGTATGGAAAGATTGCTGAAATCCAAACGACACTGGAAGAAGAACTCAGTATAGAGATAAATCACAGCAAAGTCAAGAATCACCACAGTACTTTTACAATCAGCTGTTCCAACACCATTACTGATGACTTGGACTTTCCTGTTATTGTGTGGAAGAAATGCAGTATTTTTTGCTCTGCTCCTTAATGCTTTGAAATTCTGAACAAACACGTTAAGAAAGAAATATATTTATAACTGTTCAATTTAAGAACTCAACTCAAGAATAACTATTGGCTTAACTATCGGCTTAAGTATAGCTATTGGATTAACTATCATAAATTAATCATAGAAGCAGAAGTTAATCTGTGGTTTTAGATGGTTAAGAGGACCTCATTCATCTATGTATTATATAATTACAAACTAGAATAACATTTCTGATCAAATTAAAATTTAATTTTAACCCTCATTTAAACCTCTTTAAATAAAGAATGATTTCTCCTTAATGTTGTTATATGTTATTATTTTAATAGTTAGAGCAAAATGAATTTTAAGAAGACAAATGTAATAACTAGGTTTGTTATTCAAACATCTTGATTAATCATATGAGTTTCAATCAATGAAAAGTACCTATGCCTTAATTACAAAAGGAGAGGTATATTTTAGATGATTATTTTAGAAGAGTTTTTTTCCACAGGGAAAATATGTTGTATTTATGCTAATGGATGTCAGCTAAATTCTTGTATCAATATAATATATAAACCATTAGCAGTATTTCAGTCAGGAATATTATTTTAAAATAATTATAAGCACTTTAATCTATCAATAATTCTATAAATAGTCCAATTCTGTACTACTCTGTTCAAGAAATAATCCCGCTAAAGTCCAGCTGAAACTCAAATTTCATTGCATTCTCTTCAAAACTGGTACATTTTGTCTTTGGATTGGAATGAAAATGTGCCAGTCATAGGTGGACATTCAGCACAAGTGTACATATGTCCATTTAGAAAGAACCTGCAATGATTTCAATGGGTTTACTTCCACATGAGCACAGGCATAAGCTTTGACATAGAAAAACTTCTTTGGATTAGAAACACTTCAACAGTCTAGCATCCAATTTCTTACAGCAAACAATCAGTAGCCAGCAAAAATGCTCATTAGTATGAAAGAAAGGGAAAGGTTCTCTCCTCTATGCTTCCCAAAACTGGTATTTGGAGACTGATAACTCTTACCTGTTATATAGAGATAAAATACAGACATGATGATTAAAAGACACTGATTCTTTAGTTCATTTCACTTCCATCACAAACTTCAATAGCTCACTGGATGACTTGGGACTTTTCACCCATTGTAAAGCTTTAAAAGTTCTAAGTTGGGGAAGGAGGCTAGCAAGTCTGGTTCCACAGTGATATTATGAAGTTAAATTCTCAGCTTTCAGTTTAAATGTCTGAAGAATATTCATTTCAGTGTAGAGTTGCCCAGGTTATTATTAGTTGCTTTCATTCAAGAGCATTTACAATTCACGGAACTTCATTTTAAAAGAGCAATTATTTAATGACTACATTCAGATTTTAAAAAAGACACAGGACAATAATAAATAATAGTATTTTTTTTCATGGCAGAAAAAAAACACACCCCCCAAAAATACTATCTGATATGCACAACATAAATAACATATCAAAATTTAATTTACATTTTATATATATCATCAGTAACTATATTATTAATTAGTTCTTATAAAATGAAGGCAGATAGCGGTATTTGACATATTTCTCTCAGCCACAAAACTTTTATTTGAGCTGTTACTGTTTGTAGTCCAGAAAGTACATTCCTTCACCTCGCTTTTGTGCAGCTAATATGACATCACACGGGGATTTGTGTAATTAGTTACATTTAATGACCTGAAATGTAAATGCAACAACGTGTCACAAGACTAAGTTGATATATACATTCTATTTTGCTCAGGCAAAAATTTCCTTCTCAAGAGTGCCTGAAACCTTCTATTCTGCATTTTATGAATTTTCAGTAAGATTCTAATTCAAGTTTTGATTTTTTTCCCCTTTAAATAAATATAATGCAGCATTTTTTTCTAACTCAGATCCTATGAAGTTCAGATTAAAAACAACTTGACTCCAAACATTTTTCTGTTTTTCAGCTAGTTGCTCAATATAGCAATATTATATGAAGTAGGTTTATGTTTATTTTTTCAGAACATAAATTTCCTCTTCCCCACTCTACCTCTCAAAGGTCATCCTATTCCATCATACTGGATTAGCATCACACTTCTTTGGTAGCTAACAAAAGGTACAAAGCAGGAAAGATAAGTGTGTGTGTGTGTGTGTGTGTGTGTGTGCTTGTGCTTTATAAAACAACCAGTAAATTAATTGACAGGACTGAAGATTCATTCATTTGCCTGAATAACAATATGTTAGGAACTCTTCACATTACATTATTACAGCCACTTCATTAAAGTTACCATTGGCTTATCAGGTTCTATTATAAGCTATTTTTTTAAGTGGGGTATGCTTAATTCCTATTTTTCCAGATGTTTGCATAGAGAAAGCACAAGCAAGCAGATCCCAAAGATTGGTGGGTACATATGTAAATAAGTGAGAAAGCCTTTTTATATGTTGAGTTACAGTGCATTTGGTCTAATAGGTCAGGCATGATATAGATTCTTAATGACTTTATTAGATTTAGCTAAATCAGGATCCCACATTTAAATAAACAGCCTTAATTATATTATTATTTATCAGTCTCAACTATATAAAATAGAACAAGAACTCTTCAAAACATCTGGAGAAATTCAACATATTTCTCTCCCCACTGAGTAAATAACAAGAGAATCTTCACAGAATAGTGTATAGAAATGAAGGGAATAGCTACCAGGTTCAAGAATATCTACTGCAGAGATTTTCCTAGAAATTAAATATTGCAGTTTGGCAATACTTACTTTTCAATGTTTAAGGCCATAATACTTCTTACTGGTCTGCTCTTAGTACCAGGATTAGGGTGAAATACATTTCCTTGTTTATTAGTTGTGGAAGCCCTAGGCATTCTAATGCCATATGGGTCTGTAGAATGAATTGGAAATGGATCAAATGTGCCTGCTTTCATGCCTCCTGGCTAAAAGGACAAGAAGAAATGTCAAATACTGCAGGCTTACAAAAGAATACTTCATCTACACAAAACACAAATATGAATTTAGCAGCACTATGAGCTAGTACAAAATAATATGAAAGCCTATTTCAAGTATAGCACCTAATTTCTTTTCACAGAGAATCACAAAATCATAAGCCTTCAAGAGTTGGTCTCAAGAATATAAACAGACTGTCCTGAATAATATTTGGTTGTGACGCCACTACGAAAAGCAGGACTATAGACCAAGCTAGGAAAAAAAATCCTGAAAGAGATGACTGTAAAATACATTTGTATTATTGCCAAGATAATAGTATGAACATGCACAAATAGTCAAAAGAATCAAGCTTAACTTGAAGGAATCTTTATCATTTTAATGTAGCATTTGAATTACAATATCAGCCAAATGCTAGATTACCTTAATTAACCCAGTAATATCCTACTTTTCCTCCAAGATATATTTATGAAATTTTCACAACAACACTGTGAGGAAGTCTAGAGTACTGCTGAACAGTACTTCATTCAGCCTTTGTATATATGATGGCCAAACCAATTTGAACTTTGATATACTTGATGACTACATACTTTGCTTCAGCCACATCCAGATGTAAAATTAAGAAAGGAACACTGATTTAATGCACAATTATAGCAATAAATATATTGCAGATACATTGCAGTATAGCAGATACCGTATATTTCAGTAAATTATAACATTAATTATAATCATAATGTTTGATTCATACAACACATTAAGCATGAGAGTGATTATTTGATTTTGGTTCATTACAGATGAACAACTACAGAAATTCTTTTTTTTTTTTTTGCTGATTTTGTTTCTAATTATGTTTTTCTAGATTTGCAACTTATAAAGGAAGGGGTTCCAGGATGGGTCATTTCTTGGATCTCTATTTGGATTAAATCTGAAAAAGCTACAATGATTCCATAGATGTGCTTTTTTCCAAAATTAATTGGATATTTATTTTTTCCCAATAAATATAGCCCTTTACATTGCAGTAAATAACACACATAATATTTTTTCTTTACTAAAAGGAAATATCTGTAAAAGTAAAAATTTCTTGAGAAGTCTGACTATTAACAAGCACACCTTTTTAGCTGGAGAACTTGGCTTAAAAGGATGTGGAATGGGTATTTTTTCAGGTTGTTTTTTTGGTGGAGGCAATGGCACTTCATCATGGTAAGGATTTGTATCGAAATATTCTCGGGGATAAAGATTTAACTTGAATGGTCCACCTTTCATCAGATGGCGATGTTCTTCAGATATTTTCTGGCCAAATCAGAAATGGAAAATGTCACACTGAGCTCTTCAACTCAACTAAAGTTAGGGGTAAGATTAAGGCTGCAACTCTATGCTCACATATTTCTGGATAAGCTCTACATAGTTGTAATTATTCCTGAGCAAGCTTACTTGGGCTTGCATTTCTGAAATTATAAATGCAATAAGTGGTAGGAAATAAGTATTAATGAGCATTAAAGATATAAAGCCAAATATATATAAGGCAGGACCTTGGACATTATAACATTAAAGCAAATAAATTTGCAAACTAATAAAAAAATAGCATGGCTTTCCCTTCCTTCACCACTTAAAAGGGCTTTCTAAAACAGGTTTCACATTAAAGATAAATCCATATATGGCTTTAACACCATTTTTGGGACAATCACTACTGTATAATTGTTTTAATTGATGAAATTAATCTAACAGGGAAAGGTACAAAAACCCACTTTCCAACCAATTACTGTACTGATAACATCAAAACTACCTAGGTTGAGAAAATAATAAATTAATGGAACATATATTGAAATAATATACAAAATGTATTCTTATTTCTTTATCAAATAAAGGTTAATGATGTATAATTTTAGGATGACACCAAATAAAGTCTGTTTAGAAGGAATAAAATATGTTATCAATCAAGATAAAATAAAACAGAAATCCAATTGAATTTTACCTTAAAATTTATTCTTCCTGTGTCATACAATTCAACTGAATGTGTGTATGGTTTACCTATGGTGAGATTTGGATACCTAGATACAGAAATAAAACAGTGATAGCAGCAACATTCAACTATCTCTTCCCTTTAAAAAAAAAGATATATTTGATATTAAAATTCTAGAATGTTTTACCCATAGCCTGTTCCTTTCTTCCCTGGACTGGTATAGAGATTTTTCCCTGGTTGTACATATGCAATCTTATCTTTCAGTTGAGCACTGAAGTAGGTACATGGACCACTAATTGTTCCGTAGTAGGTTCCTACGCCACACCTGAGACACAGAAGGAATACAGAGATTAGCATTCTCTAATAAATATTAAATATGCAATATAATATAATATAAAGTTTGCTTCAGATAAAAAGTTACATTCTTAGCATACCTATTTCTATTTGTGACTGCCCTATTTTTAAAAAATACATTAAAGGGGTAATGATATTTATATTTAATTGGAATTAAGGCCAAATGAAGTAAGTGGACTTACTTTTGAATATATATATATACATATTGGATTCTGCTTTAAAGTAAATAGATTAGGTTTTGTAGACAGTCCTCAGGCCACACTCAGTCCCTAGGTTCATTCTTGTAGCTTCTGGAACACCAAAAACTCTGCAGCATTTTTTTTTCAAAAAAAGGGGGAAAATAGGTGCACTAAATCTTCATTAGTTCTAATACTCTTTTTTGGCTAAAATCACCCCCCCCCCCGACTTCCAAAATAATAAATAAATTGATGGAGAAAAGAGCCCTGCTCTCTTTGATGATGTCACCATGCTACTGTCAGACTTTATATCATATTTGATTACCTTTATTTAGAAAAACCAACAGATGATTCCCTAACCAGAGAAAAATTGCTTATCTTTGCTTAGGTGAATATTTTAATGTAATTCTGCATTTCTGTACCTGAATTCATTCATAATACTAAGTCAGAGGCAAGCAAGCTACATCTAGTTCTCCCTGATTCCTTTTTGAGGCCTTTTAGGTTCTCTTAGATTACAGACCCAAAATATGGTAGACACATCACAATCACTTTATTTGCAAAATATACAAAGTACTTGCAGAAATAAGCTATCAATTACTCTATAGTTTTGACAATACACATCCCTGCAATCCTTGGGAGCCATTATTTAAAAAGCATGGCCATTCATGCAAACCATAGTAACAGGGTTCATATATCATACTAATGCAAAATAAAACACTGAAAGACGCAAATAGTATGAATCCAATTTATTGTTGGCTGCTTAGCGTGTGGTGATTTGCAGTTTGATTTTCTTTCCTTGCTTATGCTATTTCAGAGCAAGTGCTCTGTCTAATATATTGTAGATAATTCTTTCTCTCCTGATGATGCTTTGTTATACAAAAATAGTCTGGTAGATTTTCCTAGGCCAGAGTCCTTCCCAGCATTCCCCAGTCACCGTGGCCCATTGTGGAATATGGCAGCTTAACCAAGTATAGCACACAGTTAGAAAGAGAAACATCTTTATAAGTTTTCCCTACATCTTTCAATATGTGCCCACCATTCATATTCAGAATGTTTCCTAAAAATGATGTCTGGAGTGTTTGTGAAAATTGGCAGAAATTAAAATAAGCCATCCCAGAGGAAGAAAGGCATTTGTGGCACTAGAGAGAATCTAGGGGAAAAGAAGATTAGAATAATTAGAATCACAGGAGCAAACTTTGTATGGAAAATCCAGTGTTAAATATGTGTTTACCAGGAAATGAAATCTCCTGCCAGCTTTTGTGGCAACTTAGATATCAAAGGAAACTTTAAAATGCATTTTTAACTGAAAATATCAATATAAGTAGATAAATGCCATATAACTTATATAAAAGGCCCAGTAGTGGCTTTCCTAGAACTTACGGAAATTTATCTCCATTACTGGGAAGAAAGGGTCTGGCTCCCAGATTTTTTTTTGCCTCAGCCAATCGGTATCTTCTCCTTAACTGAACAGGATTTGAATAACTTTCACCTTCAAAAATTCTTGAAAACTGAGGATCAAAATATCCTGCTTGGGTGGCTCCTTTCTCTTTAATACCTCCAGGTAGCATTTGTTTATTCTTGCCTGCAGCTTCATTAAAAGGGCCTTTAAAATAAGGGAACAATTTCAGCATTGATTCAATCATTTGTATTAATTCTGCCATAGGGAAAACAGCTCAGAAACTGCATGGAATTGTCAATAATGATATCAGAAGTTGACTCTGACTCAAGGAAGATTATACTTTGCTTTACATTTTGCGCATAAGCTGCCTTGAATCTGAATATGAAAACATGAATTGTTTTCAATATTTGTTCTAAGAAGCAGTTTTCAATACAAATCATCATATGACCATTAAAAAGATGACAGACAGCATGCTCAAGTTTGAACAAAAAACTGCTTGTTCAAACCTGGCCTTTTTCCTTAAACATTTAAAATTTGTTCCCAAAAGTAGATGTTACAGATTGGAGAATCTAGTACTATCATAGAAGGAAGGAGAGAATGCTCCTTTTCCAGAAATTTGAGAATCTCACTGCCTAAAGCATGGCTAATCAACTTACATAGAACATTCAAAAGAAACAACCAAACAAAAAAACCCAAAACATGTGTTCCCTTAAATAACATCTTAAATAACAGGAAACGTGTTACTCTATCTGAAACTCCCAGTCAAAATCTCTTCAACTCTAACATCTTCTCCTAAAGAAAGAAAAGGCAAGAAAAGATACCCATACCTATAATAAACTACCAAAAACCCATTCCACCAAATCTGTAGAAGGAATCTAAACAAATGGGAGCAATGTGTAAAATTAAAGCAATTAAAGGTAAAGGATAGCAAAGAATAAGAGCCATTTAGAACAAAATGGGCTAATATGCCAGTTTTCTAGGGAGATACAGCAAAAGCAGAAAATTATAGTGGTACTTTGAATGAATCAAATAAAACAAGTCATCTACGTATCAACTAGGACATCTGTAGTCATATTAGACATAAAGATTGTGCCAATGTAGCTGTCTTGTATATTGTGAACATAAATCAATCTACCCCAACCATCCTATTTTAACTTGGTATTCATCCAACATACTAAATTTATTAAATGCGGCAAGGAAGACATTTCTTGAAATAGAGAGAAGTCAATCTATAATCCTATATTGCTGAACTGAATAGAAAAATGTACTTACGGCTAAATGGCGAGATATATTTATCTCCAATAGTAATATATTCCATTTCGCTAAAGAGGCCAATTCTGTCCATGTCTGTTTTTCCTGTTTCAGAAGGCATGTTTACTTCTGTATGATAACTTTTAGTCTAGAAAATATTTAAAGTCTTATGCTCCCTAGAAGAAAAGAAATACATATTAAAATGCTTCAGTCTTTGAAGTATTGACTTCGCTGATTATGAGTCCAGTGTTCCTAAAGAACTGATTTAAGTACTGGACTTACAATCATCGAAGTCAATACTCAATAAACAATATGGGGGGGAAGCATTAAATATGAAATCCTGGGTATTTTATTTTTCTACCTTATCCTCGTATTCAAATTACAAATACAAAATAAAGGAGCAGAAGGGACATGTATCTGCAAAAGGACAAGCTCTATATAACTCTACTGCTTCTCAGCATTTTTGTTATGACCAAGTGTGGAAAGTATCCCTGTCTAGGGTATATTTATTTTATAACTCATCATGTGCTTTTCTGAAAAAGTGCTTTTCCAAACAAGTTCAGAGCACAAAGCAAAATTCTGGATATTTTTTTACACTATAATAGAGCTTTCTGATGATAAATTCATTGGAATATATTTATCCAACAATCTCATTAAAATTATATGTCTGTAATCCCAGAAGAATCTTTAAAATTTGGAATTTTAAATCTAACCTAATCAAATAAACTAGAGAGCTTTTATCGAATCCTACCTGTTGCCATAATCTACAGCTGTGACTGGTCTTGAAAACCTAAGCATTTCCTATGGCCTAAATCACATCCCTTTAACCAGTGTGACTAAAGACCAAACCCATGCCTTCCAGTCATGTATCAAGCAAACCTCAAAACAACAACAACAAAAAAAAACATATGCTAAATTATTGTTTGCAACTAGCAAGGGTAGCTGGAATCCACTTAGATCCCACACTGTTCAAGTTGTACATCTTTTCTTTTTGCAAAAGAGCTTATTGTACCTTCCTCCAAATCACTGCGATTTTACGAAATTAATACACTAATCCAACTTTGGAATCCCTCCGTCAGTCGTATCAGATATACACTCTGAGCACAGAGACGACGCCTGGAAGCGAGGGTTTGCATGGGATACGGGGAGTCAATTGGGCATTTCGGAATGCCCGCTCTTTCGTTTAACTTTTTGGCTCCCAGTCACCCATGGGCCGACTCAGACTGGCTTAACTCTAACTCACCCTCTCACTTTTTCCCCTCCTCTCTTCCACGCAAGACAGGCTAGGTTACTCAACAGCAAAAACAACCTCCTTCGCCTCTCTCTCCCCAGCACTCCATGATCTCAGCGCTTAGTTTCTCCCGCTCTTTGTTGATACAAAGTTGCCATGGTTTCCAGGCGCCTCACTCCGCCCCCTCCGATGATGTCATGCCACAGAATCGCAGCGGCGCCTGAAGAGTGGAGCAGGTCGGGAAATGAAGTTCTTCAGTTTCAACGATAGGATGGGAAAAGCGGCGCGATCCTGTTGTCGCGTCTCTCGGTTTGTTGTGCAAAGAGAGGGAGAGTAGAGCGGAAGAGTGACGTGTCGGCTTGTGGGACGGGGGGAGGGTCTCGATCGGAGAGGAGGAGCATGCCGCTGCCGGGATTGCTTTTTCCTGGCGTTTTACTGACGGACGTGGTAAGTCAGGCCGATGATACCCGCGGTCGCTCTGCTATTAAAGCAACGGCATCCCTCGTCTTGTCTGCCTCGAAAGCAGCAGGGCCTCGAGGGAGGCCCCGAGCCCCAGCGCTTCCTTCAGTTAGAAAGCAGCTGTTGTCCGGTCGGCTCCGGCTGGGGGAGAGCTTCAGGGGGCGCCTGCAGCCCCTCTTGGCCCCGTTTGCAATTAGGCACCGAAGAGCTTCTCATGCACGCCTTCAGGTTAGGCAGTTTGACGAACGAGTTTGCATTTCTGCAATTTCCTAGATTTATGTGGTTGCCCGCTGCTTTAGCATTTGAAGAAGCTTGACAGCAAAATAAAGCTAACATAAGATAATTAAAATAATAAACCATTTGGGAAATTAAAAAAACGAAAGGGAATAACGGAATCGAAGGGATAACCTTAATCACGGAAAGAACGAGACCAACGAAGACGTACAGATAGTCTTCGTTTAGGGACTGCAGTTAGGATCGGCAACTCAATGTTTAAGCCAAGTGGTCGCTACGTGGGAAATCATGTGACTGCTTATGAATTTACATAGGATAATGCATACTAACTGACTAATGGCAAACACATGACTAACAGAGACTTTGTATAGGTCGTAAACGTGGGCACTGGGCACAAAGTTATTTTTCCATTGCAGTTGTTACTGCAGTTGTTGCTGTCTGAAGCAGTCACTCAATGAGGACTATCTGTATCTCATTTAAGAGTTTTACAATCCATGTGGAATCATCCAATGCCCTGTCCAGGACTCAGGAAAAGATCTCAGTATTTAGGTTTTATGGGAGAACAGTAAAAATTTTGGTAAAGAATATATTTTTGGTAATTGTTTATACCTGATCGAGTTGTAAGAAATTTGTCATGGGTTTTGCATTTTTAAAATTTTGCCGTTGTTCTTTTTTAAATTTAATCTTTTAGTTCAATAAAGTACCCCCACCCCCCCAAAAGCCCAGATTAGCTTCAATCTTTCTTTGTTGGGCCGGGCTTGTGATAGAGTTCTTTTTTCAGAACTTCATGGTGGCCATTCTTCCTCCTGTAAATGTAGTTAACATAGAACAACTATTTGGAATAGCATTGGGGATGCTGCTTCTTGGTTTTTATTTGTTATAAGTTTAATTAAAAGTAAATTGTACTGGTATAAAAAAATACTTATTTCCCTATAAATTACATGAAGTTCCTGAGCTCCATTCCTGGTGACTTCCCAGACAACTCTGATTTTCTTGGTAAGAGTATGAAAGTAATTCACTATTGACTTTTTCCCAGAATATCTTTTTGAAATACCTGGTCTGGGATTTTCCAGTAGTCTATTCAAGTGCTAATGAGATTCAATTCTATTTAGCTTTTCAAGATTGAATCAGCTAGATGCTATTATATAACTGGACTCCAAATAAATTAAAAGTTGCTAATATTTTTGTAAATGTCTGATCTTTGATCAAGGCCAAGCTTCCCCTTAACAATTATAACATATCTATGAAGTGAATAAAAGTGTATTCATCCTGGCTACAACATGATTGAGGAATGGTCTGAAGCAAGGAACACTATAGTGGAAACTCTACATTGGGTTAACATTTTAAAAAACCAAAAAAACCTCACAAAACCACCAGGGGGAAAAACAAAAATGAGAAGCCACATTCACATAGGTACTAAGATCCCCCACACTTTGTATTATTGCCAGACCCACCAAAACCTTGATCAATCAGAATGGTTTGGATAGTCCCCAATCTTGGATCAATATGTTGTGTGAATTCAGTCCCTATATTTTGATAGCTCAGGATGATGTGTAGGCATTATGTCTAATTCAACCATTTATAAATAAGCAAATCATCATAATTGAAAATCATTCAGCTGCTACATTTTCAGATGGTAAGTTTGAATCTTTCAGCCACAAAAGCCACAACAATTTATGAAAATTTTCAACCCAGAAACACTTGGATTGTTTTTTTTCCTCCTCCCTTCAATAGGTCATCAAAGACACTATGGACATACTTTTTAGAATAAGAGGAGGCTTGGATTTTGCATTTCAATTAGCGACTACTGATGGTGAGTCGATAGAAATACAAAATGCTGTATTACATTATACTGTACAAAAGTTTAAAAAAATGACTACTGTATGAACAAAATCTGTTTTAACAAGGTTTGTATGAGAAACCCTTCCCTTTTCTTTCTTTTCTTTCTTTTCTTTTCTTTTTGGAATAATACAACTGTGCAGATTCATTCAGAAGCAAGTCCTAGTCTTCTTAATAGACTTTTCTCCTTTCCAAGTGATTGAAGACCAAAACCCAAATGGCTAGGCAGTTTACAGGTCTTCTGCTCTTATTTAGGAATTTTTTTCATGTTGAAATGCTTAATTGAGAACACTTCTTTCAGTCTTCAGTTAATGGATAAACTCACAATTGTTCTTTTTCTTCTTTCTAAAATAAGTCTCATTATATAAAATCTGCAGCTAATTCCCTATGCATTTTACCTTTTTTTCTTTTCACCATTTGTTTTAGATTCATCCACAAAAGAGGCACTCAAATACATTTTCAAGGATCTTTCAGCTAAATTGGCTTCTGATATGCTGGTATTCAGGATTTGTCATAGCTCAGTATATTTGTGGCCAAACAGTGGGATGAACTCCATGGCAACTGAGCTTTCAGATGACTCTGCCTGCAAGGAGATACTACAGTTTATTCAGTGAGTATGGCTAGACAAAAATAATGATTTTGTGGTTGGAGATGGTATAATAATTTGTCATGATGCAATCATTCTGGCAATGTTTTCCAGATTTGAACAAGGGGGCACCAAGCAGAGATTTTCAAAAAAGAAAGATAAAAAGTTACAAGAGATGGTACGTATAGCCTTTTTGTTGCAATATGTACGTTTCTGTGCAATGTGAAGAAATAATTATTTATAGTTTTATTTATAGGCAAGTACAGTATTTGTGAAAAGATAATATATTTAGTCCTTTTCTCTTAGAATCAATATTGAGTTATTTAATTTATATTGGAAATTGACTCTAGGGAAGGTGATGGGATTCCTTGTCTGCTACTTTTCTGATCTAACTTTTTTTCCACAATGTGACTTTATCTGATGGGGAAACAGAATCTTTGGAGTAATTTAGATTACAACTTGTATATTAAAGTCTTCTTTATTTTCAGCCATCAATAGTAAATATTGATCTCATGTTGGAAATTACAACCTCATTTGAGCCTTTGGCTCCAGTAATTGAAAAGGAAAGCAAAGAGCATCACTACATTAGCATGACATTGCCAGTTGATGTTGTGGTCTCTGTTTCTCCTGAAGAAACATGGCGCAAGTAAGTAGATTAAATAACTTAGTATGTATTTTTAAGATTTCTTTAGCTTGTTTCTGTTGCAGTTTTATGTTATCCAAATCTCCAAATGGATAGAATTTTCAGCATGTAACATTAACCTAGGTTTGTTCTCCTTTACAGTTTTCATCAATTTAGGATATTTGGTACCATTTTCATTCATTTATTTGTTAAAAAATGCTGACTCCCTTCTCATTAAACAATTCAAAAACAGATTGTGATTAATTAAAAATCAACAATTAATTATTGGGTACAGTTAAGTCAGAAATATATAGCATCACTATTTAACTAAAAAACTGGTTGATGCCTCAAACTAAAAAGGTTTCTGCCAGCTGCAGTTGAATAGTAAGGGAATTCACAGTTGGAGCACTTGGAGTGAAAATTCGCACACTTTGGTCTCCATAGAGCAAGCTCCACACAGATGTGGCACCTACCACTAAGGTTATATCAAACATTCAAGTCCAAAGCTACCTCAAATTTTGTATGTCACTACACGTTCTTGGCAATGCTTTCAAAATGGGATAAATTGTTAACAATAATTTGTCCTTTACAACAGCCTACCCCCCAGGGTCATGTTCTAGCTGGAGTAATGTTACTAATGAATTGCTGTAATTCGGTCTTAATATTACCATTCATTTACAACTACAGTTTGAAGAGTAGTTAGAAGTACAGTGTAAAATACTTGCCTGAAATCCCAAAAGCTGTCATTTCCAAATTTGATTTCATCTACCAAATCTTGAAATGCTTCCTGAAAAAAAAGGTGCACCTTTTCCTAAAATGGATTAGGAACTGTATCCAGTGGAAGGGTCAGAGCTTTTAAAAACTGTAATTTTTAGCAGAGCCACATCTTACAAATGAATGAAAAGGCAGATATAAATCTCCAAAATATATTTGGAGACCAAGAATGTAAATCAGACAGTACACTGATAAACACCTTTACCAGTATATGTTATATAATATCCAGTGCTTTTTTTGTATATAAAAAAAGGTGTCAGAACTCACACACAGCTCCAGCTTCAGTCAAAAGCCCTTTATGGAGCTGGGGGGGGGAGAAGAAACTGCTTTAGGGAGCTTCCGAGGCGCAGATCATGTGAGCAGCATCAGCTGACGGACACCATTTCTGCGGCTTTTGAGAGGGCGCTTGTTCAGGGCCGGCATGTCTTCTGCCACCTCGCCTTCCTCTGCCTCTGATGACACAGAGTCTTCCTCCAGAGCC